GCATGAAGAGAAACCCAGACTTCCAGAGGACACCCCCCACACACACATACACACACCATCGGACCTGGTTAGATCTTTCATTAAATTCTGCGAGTTCTCACACGGTGTTATTCTTGGCAATGCAGATGAGAGCTGATGTGCGGCTGCGCGTGATAGACTGGGGGGGGGGGGGGAGCTAAGCACTTTAGGCGGCTCCGGCTGCATCTCACATTCTTTTGAAAGGGAAGGAGTTCCTGCTAAATATAACGAAGGTGTGACTCAGAAATTCCACTCGGGTGCAGAAAAGTCCTCTGGAATAGAAGAATACCACACCTGAAAAGTTGGAATGGGAAGAAAGGAAAGAAGGAGATAGATGATATAGTCAGACAGATAGGTGATAGATAGGTGATAAATATCATTAATATGTACTAATCCTTGTGCCTTTTACTTTTAAAATGATCATAAAATGACCATTCTGCAAACAGAAGAATCGTGGATAGAGGCTACCCTAAGGAAAAGAAACAATGAGCAAGACCCTACCTCCAAGAACAAACTGGGTATGGTAGTACATTCCTGTGATCCCGACTATGCAGGAGGAATTGTGGATTAAGGCAGCCCAGCAACAATAAAGAGAGAGAGAGAGAAAGAGAGAGAGAGAGAGAGAGAGAGAGAGAGAGAGAGAGAGATCCTATCTGAAAAGTAATAAAGCAAAATGGACCGGAGCATGGCTCAAGTGGCAGAGCCCTTGCATGCCTGGCAAGCACAAGACCCTGACTTCAATAAATGATAAAATAAGAAGTAAATATACATATGGTGCAGAAATCAAATTCAACCCGCATCCCTGGAAAGGGCTGTCGGCTAACTTAGTGGAGTCAATAGCCAGTGAAAATATTCTAGAAGTAAGCACTCGGTCCGAAGCCTAAGCAGGTGGCGCAAATGATCTCTAAAGAACACCTAACCACGCGGACTTTAGGCAAGAACATAGAACAAGCGAGAAAGGGAAGAGATGAGAGAATGGAAAGATACTGTGCGCCCTTCCCATTGACAACAGCTATATCAGCGGCTCTCAGCCGCTGATCTCTCATAGGAGATCTTTGTTGTTGTTGTTGTTTTCATTCGATTAACAAATAACTACTGGTCACACAAACTTGCCAAAAATGGTAGGGAACAGACCCGCGCCTGCCCGGACGTGGGCGCCTGCCCCACGTGAGTACCTGCCCGGATGTGGGCACCTGCCCGGACATGAGTAGCTGCCCCATGTGGGCACCTGCCCTCGTGAGTGCTCCCCCTCAGTCCCCTTCTCTTCCTGGGGGGGGGGGGCTGTCAGGAACTGGGGCTCAGAGTGGCTGGAGTGGTCCTGGGCAGAGGATGGAAAGGAGAGGGAGGGAGCTAGAGGCAGAGGCCTAGCTTCCTAACTGTTTCCATGACCTGGCCACTCAGTACCCAGAAGCAGGCGGGGGATGCAGGGGACGCGTCAGAGGAGAGCTCCTGGGTGATTCCAGACACTGCATGAGAGAAGCTCACGGGGGGCTGGGGAGGGAACCGGGCAGAGGGGCTGGGAAGCTCCACTGTGTCGTCAGTGTAGTGGAATCTGCAGTCTCTGAGGGGCGGATAGGAAGATGGAGACTCACGGCCCTGGGGTGGGGGGCGGGTCTGAGACCCCAGGAAGGCCACAGAGACCCCAGACTCAGACACCCAAGGAAGGAACCACAGGGATTCTGTGATTAGACGGCCAGACCAAAGAACAAGGGGGAAAAAAGCTACAACTAAATTAATGTGGTAGACCCGAGGCACTTGGTATGATTGATAACCATACATTTTTTGGTTAAAAGGCATATTACTGTGGGGAGCCAGTGGCTCATGCTTGTAATCCTAGCTACTCAGTAGGCTGAGACCTGAGGACAGCAGTTCAAAGAAAGAAAGAAAGTCTCTAAGACTCTTATCTCCAGTTAAGCAACCCCCCACCAAAAAAAAAAAAGTGCTCAGCACCCAGGCCCTGTGTTCAAGCCCCAGAACCCCCCAAAAAAGCATAATGCTGCTGGGCATGGGTGGCTCACACCTGTCATCCTAGCTACTCAGGAGGCTGAGAGCTGAGGATCGCGGTTCAAAGCCAGCCTGGGCAGGAACATCCATGAGACACTTATGTCCAATAAACCACCAGAAAACTGGAAGTGGTGCTGTGGCTCAAGTGGTAGAGTGCTAGCCTTGAGCTGAAGAGCTCAGGGACAGCGCCCAGGCCCAGAGTTCAAGCCCCACGGCCAACCCAAAAAAACAAAACAAAACAAAAAAGCATACTACTACAGAGCCACACTCAGCCACATCAGGAAGAGCAGAGGGCGCTTCTACCCAACACAGACGCAGCGCTGCCCCACCATTTGACTTGCTTTCCACTGCATCGCAACAGGCCCGCCCCAGCAAAGAATTTTAACACATTTTTATCTTCCTCCAGGGGTTGGTAGCACATACTTGTCATCCTAGCTCCTCAGGAGGCTGAGATCTAAGAATCCTGGTATGAAGCCAGATCAGGTAGACAAAACTATGAGACTCTTAGCTGCAATTAACCAGCAAAAAAACCAGAAGTGGAGCAGTGAGCGGATCAAGTGGTAGAGCACCAGCCTTGACCGCAAACTCCAACTAACAATACCAGGGCCTGAGCTGAAGCCCCAGAACTTGCACACCACACCAAAAATAAAACAAGAGAAGATGACACTACCACTGCATCCAAGGCACAGACAGTGAGATTCATCTGAATTACAGTCCTTTTTGTTTTTCTACTTCCAAGAAGGTTCACAGTCTCGGCCCTCTCTAAGTCACGAGGGTTAAAGCTGAGTCTTACAACCCCAGACTAACCCCCCCCACCCCAAAACAGCCGTGCAGAGCCTGCAGACACGCTTCCACATGAAGCCATAGCAACAGGGCAAGACTGAGAAGCTGCCACCCGCCAGCTGCGGTCAGAGAGCAGAACAGGGTGGTGGAAGGCTCTGAAGGCTGGCCTCAGCTCGCTCAGACGGCAGGTGCTGTGGTCGCAGTGTGGGTGCCCCAAAACCTCACAGCTGGGCCTTCCCTCTCCCGGTAATTGAGGTTTCGAGCGTGGAGGCCTCAGTGCCTGGATGGGAGACTGGGGGCCCCCCCTTCAACATGCGAGGGTACAGCAAGAAGGGACGCGGCTCGGCAGACGTCAACCGGCTGGGGCTCCGCACACGCGGGCGTCCGGCCTCCAGGACTGAGTGACAGCTCCGGCTGGCGAGACATTACCGGCTGCTCTGTGCGTTACAGCGGCAGGAACAGACGAAGGCAGAGAGGACTGGCCACTCCTTCAGGAACTCGGCACCACGCAGGGTTTTGCTTGTGGCTAATCCCAATGCGGCGACAAAAATAAAACCAGCGAAAAATGGCAAAAAAGGAAAAGCAGCATCTATGGGGATGTCCAAGGCTAGAGCTGTATGAACATGCTTTCTCACTTAAGTCTCGGTAGCCTGACGGAGCTGCACCAAGCTGACCCCCGGCTTCCGTTCCCAGCCACCGAACAGCTCATGATTAACAGCTGGGCCCGAGAGTCTGAAAGCCGCGTTCCATCACACGTCAGGGACGTGAGAGAAAGCTCAGAGCTCCTACTTTGGGGCGGGGACGGGACGGGACAGGGAGGCCTTCTCCAAGGTGGCTAGCGCAGGTGCCTGAAAACTCTCTGCTCTGTGGCTCATCAGAGACACGGAAAACTGCTGCACAGCACCGGACCCTGGAACCCCAACCTCAGCAGACAGAGATCAGCCAGCCGGTCACCTCACCCCAACCCCAGCAAGCCAGAACACGGCCAGCCGGTCACCCATCCCAACCCCAGCAAGCGGAGAACACGGCCAGCGGGTCACATCATCGTCCCTCATCACTGCCGGGGCGGTATGGCTGGCAGCTTGTTCTTTGGGAGCACGCATTCCCAAAGGAGAACAAAGGTGAGCCATGCTGCGAGCACACGGTGAGCATGAAGGGGTCTGCAGCCAGGTGGACTGCTTACGCTTGCACTCTTGGCTACTCAGGAGGCTGAGGTCAGGAGAAATGCAGATCAAGGCCAATAGTAGCAAAAAGTTGCAAGATGCCATCTCAACTAATTAAAAGCGGGGTGTGATGATGGGCATTAATACTCCATCTACATCAGGAATGGCCCAAGCAAAACAAAAACAAAAACAACTCAGCCGGGCACCGGTGGCTCACGCCTGCAATCCTAGCTACTCAGGAGGCTGAGATCTGAGGATCGCGGTTCAAAGCCAGCCTGGGCACCAAAGTCTGTGAGACTCTTAGCTCCAATAAACCGCTCAGAAAACCGAAGTGGCCACTGTGGTTCAAGTGGTAGAGCGCTCATCTTGAGCTAAGGGACAGCGCCCAAGCCCAGAGTTCAAGCCCCTTGACCAACAAAATAAATAAACAAATAAGATTCTATTACAAAATTAATGACAGGCTTGGCACCAGCGACTCACGCCTGTAATCCTAGCTCGTCAGGAGGCTGAAATCTGAGGATCATGGCTGGAAGCCAGCCTGAGCAGGAAGGTCCGTGAGACTCTTACCTCCAATTAACCACCAAAAAGCTAGAAGTAGAGCTGTGGTTTCCATGGTAGAACACCAGCCTTGAGCAAAAAAGCTCAGGGGCAGTACACAGGCCCAGCATTCAATCCTCTGGACCAACATAAAATTTTAAAAAATAATAATGATAAAGTAAAATAATAACTACCTGCCTAGCAAGGACAAGGCCTAAGCTCAAACCCCAGGGCTTCCAAGAAAAGAATGTGTGTTGGCAGTGACCCACACACTGCGCCTTCACCCCAACCCCCACCAGTCCCCGCCCAGCCTGACACATTCGCTTGGGGCCTAAAAAAAAGCTCAGCTCAACAGCCAAACTATTCTTGCCGCACCTGCCCGCTCTGCTCTACCAGGGCGCGAATGCTGGTTACAACCATCTTCTTCACAGGGCCTGGAGGCTCCGTGGGAGAGACAGACGGATGGACAGACAGAGGGACAGAGGGACACCGTACCTGCTAGCATCAGAGCCCGGATGCACTCCGTCCGGCCCTGCATGGCAGCTTTCATGAGGGCCGTGAAGCCGAACACATTCCTCCTCTCCAGGTCCACACCTGGGAAGTAGTTCAACAAGTAGTTGGTGATGGTGGCGTGGCCTGAAAGAGAGTTGTGCACACGTGTGAGTTCACGTGTCCACGGAAAGGGCTTGCTCCCACAAGGGGAAGGGGGGCGGTGGGGGGGAGACGGGGGGAGGGGAGAGAGAAAGAGGGAGAGAGAGGGAGGGAGAGAGAGAGTTAGAGGGGGAGAGGGAGAGAAAGGGAGAGGGAGAGAGGGAGAGAGGGGGAGAGGGGGAGAGAGCACGCTGCTGTGTCATCCGCCTGGTCAGCCATCTTCTGTGTGTTTCCTTTGGCTCCTCAGACAGAATTCTCCCAGGCCCAGGAGTGGGGGAGGCAGAGGCCGTTGGCCCCCCTCCCTGCACTGCTGTTCTGGGGGAGGAGGGCGGGGGGGGGGAGGGCTCAGTCGGGCCACTAAAGCAGCTGTGAGAGCAGGCAGTAGCCAAGAGGCGCAGCGGCCCCCCCCCCCTCCCCTCCCCTCCCCTCCCTTCCCCTCCCCTTCTCTCCCCCCCCTCCCCTCCCCTCCCCTTCCCAATCAGCTCTCAGCTCTCAGCAGGGGCAGCAGATGCTGCTGAGCTGAGAAATGCAGTGCACACGTGCACACACATGCACACGTGCACACACACACACACACACACACACACACACGTGCACACACACACCCCTCAGGACTCTAGCCACCTGTACTCAGACATAAACCTCAGCAGCGGCGAATATTTACAAGATGATCCAGACTTCTCCCGGCCCTCCCGCCGTCCTCCCACAGACTGGCTCACGGGTGTGTATGTGTGTGTATGTGTGTATGCGTGTGTGTATGCGTGTGTATGTGTGTGTATGTGTGTGTATGTATGTGTGTGGGGAGGGTGTAAATGGCTGTCTTCTCATGCTTCGTCCACAGAAAAACCAGCCTCAGCAGCAACTACCTGTGCCCAAGCCTGGCTCCCGAGTCTCCCACACTGTCCCTGAGGGCGCACCCCTCCCCCCCTCCCGCAGCTCCTCCCCCCCCAGCCCCCCCCCCCCCAGCACCAGCCAGACCATCCAGACCGCTGCGCCCTGCTGTGGTTTCCAGCCTCAGGGGTCAGCAGCAGCCCAACTCCCACTCCCGCCAGGACGGTGACACAGTGCCGTGCGCAGACATGGCCACCCACCCGCTGCTGGGAGACGGTGTACCAGTCACCCTGCGGAGAACCAGGGCTCAGGGCCTGCGCCACACCGGTTCACCCCAGAGCTCACCATGGGCACGAAAAGCCTCGTTCCCAAGCCAGCAAGCAGGTGGCAGTGACAGATCACTGTCTCAGTGACACACGGGCTCCAACTTGTGATGGCACTTTTGGGGTCACCGACACCCCTTGGCACCCCTGCCTGCCTTCCTCTGGCCGCCTGCTCGGAGGGGAGGGGGGGGAGGGCTAGAACCCCTGTCCCGGAAAGGACCCCCCCCCCGACACAGAGGGAGGAGACCCTGCGAAGCAAGTACCGACATTAACCTTTCTTAAAAGAACCATCCCACGCACGTGTGCCTCCTTGACCTCCAGCTGGAGCCTGCCACGCCACAGCCACGCCACAGCCACGCCACAGCCACGCCACGGCCAAGCCATGCCACAGCCACGCCAGTCACACCACGGCCACGCCACAGCCACGCCTCAGCCACGCCACGGCCACGCCACAGCCACAGACACGCCACAGTCACACCATGGCCACTCCACAGCCACACCTCAGACACGCCACAGCTATACCTCAGACACGCCACAGCCACACCACAGCCACAGACACACCACAGTCACACCACAGACATACCACGACCACACCACAGCCATGCCACAGCCACACCACAGCCACGCCACAGCCACGCTACGGCCAAGCCACGCCACAGCCACGCCAGTCACACCACAGCCACGCCACGGCCATGCCACGCCACACCACAGCCACGCCGCACCACAGCCACAGCCATGCCACGGCCACTCCACGGCCACACCATGGCCACGGCACAGCCACGCCATGCCACAGCCACGCCACAGCCACGCCACGGCCATGCCACGCCACAGCCACAGACACGCCACAGTCACACCACAGCCACGCCTCGGCCACGCCACGGCCACAGCCACAGACACGCCACAGTCACACCAGACACACCATGGCCACACCACAGCCACGCCACGGCCATGCCACGCCACAGCCACACCACAGCCACGCCTCGGCCACTCCACTGCCACACCATGGCCACACCACGGCCACGCCACGGCCATGCCACAGCCACAGCCACACCACAATCACACCACAACCACGCCTCAGACATGCCACAGCCACACCTCAGACACGCCACAGACATGCCACAGCCACACCACAGGCACGTCACAGCCACAGCCACACCATAGCCACGCCACGGCCATGCCTCGGCCACGTCACGGCCACACCACAGCCACAGCCACAAGAGAAGGAAACTCGGGCCTTGACATTCTGAGCCAGGCTTCGGTGGGGCTTGGCTTGGCTGTTTTGTTTGGGTGTGGTGCTGGAGCAAGGTTTGAACCCGGGGCCTTGGGCTTGCCGGCAGGTGCTCTACTGCTCAGAGAACCTCACTGCCCTGATGAGCCTTTATTTCTCAGCAAGGGCTGTGTGGTTTGGGCCACGCCAGCTTAGACCACGATCCCCTACTAAGCCTGCTTGCCTGCTGAGATGCGGTTTTCCTCACTTTTTGCCTAAACTGCTTTGAACAGCGGGGGCCCCCCCTGCACCCCTGGAGTAACCGGGTGAAGCTTGCCCCTCCCCCACACTTACAAGCACCTCCTCCTCCTCTTCCTCTCCTGTTCAGACCCTAAGGGGATGCTGCTCACAAGTCAAACCCCAGGACCACAAAAGAAAACAGCACGTGCCGAGGGCTGGAGGCGTGGCTCAGCGGTACAGCACCACCGGCGAAGGCAAGGCCCTGAGCCCAGAACCCCTGAGAGAAAGAAAAAATCGGAAGCAGCATCTGTCCCAGGGCTCCTGGAGCCTCCCCACTCCTGGGCTCTTTGGCCACCGTTGATCACTACAGACCATCTCAGCTGGCCTGACAGCCCCCGGGTCCCCCTCCCCCACATACCCCGCTTATCCCGTGACCCCAAAGCTTCCCGGGCAAGAGAAGCTCAGGGAGGGTGCTCGCAGGTGCAAAGCCAGCAGCTGCTCAAATGTGCTGCTCAGGCTGTCCTCGCACCCGTGACTCAGCTCTCTCCCTACAACCTCGCTGCTCCCAGGAGAAGTGCCCAGCACATAGCTGCTCCAAAGTCCCCAAGTCAGGTCCCCAGCGTAGGAACAGGCACGGACAGAAGTAGTCAAGATCAACCAACCCATTCAGCCCGTCCAGAAGAATGAGCAATCAAAATGTCTGAGACTAGACTGGGGTGGTTTGTTACACAGCAGTCGCTAGCTGGGGTGGTTTGTTACACAGCAGTCGCTAGCTGACACACATGTGCTGCTGCCAATAAGATCCCTGCGGGCCCATCCGACACAGGGCCTGCCGCCATGAGTAATGTCACTGCTTTTCAGTCCTGGGCTCTTACTGAGACTCTTCCAGCTCAGCGGATGCTATCTCCTAACAGCTTGAGCAGGGAGTCCAAAGATTGTCGACTGACACCAGCAGCACTGACCACTGACCGCTCTAGACATGACACCCACGCCACGGCGCTGACCACTGACCGCTCTAGACATGACACCCACGCCACGGCGCTGACCACTGACCGCTCTAGACATGACACCCATGCCACGGCGCTGACCACTGACCACTCTAGACATGACACCCACGCCACGGCGCTGACCACTGACTGCTCTAGACATGACACCCACGCCACGGCGCTGACCACTGACCACTCTAGACATGACACCTACACCAGAGCGCTGACCACTGACCGCTCCAGGCATGATACTCACGCCACGGCGCTGACCACTGACCACTCTAGACATGACACCCATACCAGAGCGCTGACCACTGACCGCTCTAGACATGATACCCACGCCACGGCGCTGACCACTGACTGCTCTAGACATGACACCCACGCCAGAGCGCTGACCACTGACCGCTCTAGGCATGATACCCACGCCACGGCGCTGACCACTTCTCTCTTTCGCCTGGAGCGGTTTCATCCCGTGGACATGAGAGCATTCACACTCTGGCCTTCCCTCCTCCCACTCTCTCCTTCCAGAGCCCCTGCTGCCCCAGATGCCTCCCGCCCCCCGTCGGCTTTGCCTTGGTGACCCTCTAGTCCAGGATCCGGCCACGGCTCAGAAGGCCTCACGCTCAACGGACACCCCTCGTTCTGTGTCTGTCCTCATCTCTGCCCGCTGGCGAGCTCGGCGCAGTGTCCCACGACCAAGCCAAGCTCTAAGCAGCAAATGTAGAAACACCATTCCTCCCAGCTGCTGCTCTGGTCATCAGCACCACCAACCACCCAGGCCACCCTTCGGCACCCATCGCCCCCCCACCCCTCCTGCCACCCCCTCCCCGCCCCTCCCACCTCTGTCCCCACAGCAGGGAGACGGCAGAAGAAGTCACAGCCACAACTCACCTCCCGGCAGCTGACCCCGGTGACCCCTGACCTCCGCTCTCACCCCGCAGCTCTGTCACCAACCCCCGTGTGCTGCACACTGGTCCGTTGCCCACAGCAGTCTACCACCCTTCACCTGCCGCCAGATCAGCCATTCCTTCCCCGGGAGCTCTTCCCTGCTGCTCCGGCCACGCTGGGACCCTCGACCCCCCCAACCTCGGTCCTCAATTCCCCACTCAGAAACCTCCAATGGCCATGCGCGCGAGGCACTGCAGGGCCACGGGGTGAGACGTCTCGGCCTTTCCTGTGCATAAAGCTCATTCACTGAATTGTTCATTATCAAGCTCCAACCACATCATTTAATGGCGTTGGCATCACAGTGGTTCGTCATTGTCCAGGGTGCTCACTAAGAACAGGAACAAGCGAGCCACGCACGAGATAAGCAAACCTGGTCGAAAAGTGGGAGGACATTCAAGAATCAAACACTTCCCGGCCACTCATCCAACTGTAGTTCCCCACAGAAGACCA